CCCTAAATTTCTGGAAAATTTCTGGTTCCGGGCAGCCTGAAGCCTCGATCCCTAAATTTCCGGAAAATTTGCTTCATCGCTTTCCTAAATTTCCCGAAAATTTACACACCCAAAATTTTCAGGAAATTTAGGAAACGGATGCAGCCTTCTTATCTTGGATGCCCGTATTCTTGCTGCGTGAGTTAGAACGTCTGTCGCGGTTAAGCGGAGCACAGCTCGGGGCATTAGAGCGCATGTCACGGGCAAACGCAGCACAACTCGGGGATGCATTGAGGACGGGCTTACCCCCAAACCAACTGAAGCCGCATGGAGCCGCATGGAGCCGCATGGAGCCGAATGGATCCACGTGAAGGCGTACGGAACTTACACTTCCCACCTCGCGCGTGCCAGCAGGTCCCTTCCGATTAGCTTTGTGAGGTCGACGTTAGAGGCATGGGCTATTGCAACGGAATGCGTTCAGGGATCTCCTTTCAGGTGTTAGCTTTCGCTGCCCATGGCCGAAGGTACGAAGCGTAGGGCATGATTCTAGCATGGCTTTTGCTTTCAAGCTTCCCAATGCTCGCAACACGTCGTGCAAGTGTAGCTGAAACATGGCAGCAGGCATCTTGGCTTTATCCGCAAGGGCTCAGAGCACTGAATCTCTGGATCTTCTGAATATGAACCTTCCCTACGATTGCAAGATATTTGCAGAATCTACGCCGCCCATTTTGTCACGGGCTTGCGTGTCAGCCAGGTCGTATCTGATTTTTACGCTGCTCGCCGTCCAGCTGGACCCCGAGATCGGGGCAACGCTTCCCGGCAGGCCGGACGTGTCACGGTGGGAACGCTGCTAGCCGAGCATGGGATGTCAGAAGCCGAGTAGCGTGGTGCCGCTTTGATTTACATCGATGGGAACATTGCTAGACGAGCATGGGATGTCAGAGGCCGTGTGGCGCGGTACCGCTTTGACTTGCGTCGGTGGGATCATTGCTAGCCGAACATGGGATGTTAGAAGCCGAGTAGCGTGGTGCCGCTTTGACTTGCATCGGTGGGAATACTGCTAGCCGAGCATGGGATGGCAGAAGTCGAGAAGCGCGGTGCCACTTTGATTTGCATCGGTGGGAATACTGCTAGCCGAGCAGGGGATGCCGAGTAGTGTGGTGCCGCTTTGACTTGCATCGGTGGGAATACTGCTAGCCGAGCATGGAATGACAGAAGCCGAGTAGCGTGGTGACTTGCATCGGTGGGAACACTGCTAGCCGAGCATGGGATGTCAGAAGCCGAATAGCCTGGTGCTGCTTTGACTTTCAGCGGTGGGAATATTGCTAGCCGAGCGTGGGATGTCAGAAGCCGAGTAGCGTGGCGCCGCTTTGATTTGCATCGGTGGGAATACTGCTAGCCGAGCATGGGATATCAGAAGCGAGTAGTGTGGTGCCGCTTTGACTTGCGTCGATGGGAACACTGCTAGCCGAGCATGGGATGTCAGAAGCCGAGTAGCGTGGCGCCGCTTTGATTTGCATCGGTGGGAACACTGCTAGCCGAGCATGGGATGTCAGAAGCCCAGTAGCGTGGTGCCGCTTTGACTTGCATCGGTGGGAATACTGCTAGCCGAGCATGGGATATCAGAAGTCGAGTAGTATGGTGCCGCTTTGATTTGCACCGGTGGGTATACTGCTAGCCGAGCAGGGGATGTCAGAAGCCGAGTAGCGGGGTGCCGCTTTGACTTGCATCGGTGGGAATACTGCTAGCCGAGCATGGGATGGCAGAAGTCGAGTAGCGCGGTGCCACTTTGACTTGCATCGGTGGGAATACTGCTAGCCGAGCAGGGGATGTCAGAAGCCGAGTAGTGTGGTGGCGCTTTGACTTGCGTCGGTGGGATTACTGCTAGCCGAGCATGGATTGTCAGAAGCCGAATAGCGTGGTGCCGCTTTGTCTTGCGTCTTATAATCTAGATTTTTTGCTTAATAGTTGGCAACGATATGAGATTCCGATGTGTTTCATGCTTGCAACGTTCAAGCTTTCTTATTTGGCCAGCTCGGTCGATTTGTGCTGCGGGCCACAGAAGTGGAGGTGGTCTCGAGCATCTGTTTGGTCAAGTATATGTATAAATAAATATATATATATATATATATATATGTATATACAAAGGACATGACCGGGCCAATGCGGATATAACCGATGCCGCCGACGAAATTCAAGCTCATATCGATACAAGATGGGTCGGCCCCGATGAGGCAATATGGCGCTTGCTCGAATTTCCGCTTCACGGCAGTTCGCACTCTACGCAACGCTTGGCCACACATCTACCTGGCGAGAAGCAGATCCTCTTCGAGGAGGGCGAGGAAGTGCAAGCGAATCGTGATGTTAGACGGCACCGTAGTACACTCACTGAGTGGCTTGAGATGAATAAGAACGTGCGCGAATCTGGG